TATAGTTTTTATGTAATTACAACATCTTAATTCTTATATTTTTCAATCTATTACTTTTATACAAGGGCCCTAGACAGAAAAAGACTTATGACGCAAAAATTATATTGAAAAGAAATAAATGGAATAAAAAACATCATATGAAAAAAAACATATTTAAGTTATACGACATAATACTTTTAGTATTCATAAGGATAAGTTTTTAAACGAAATGCTGCAAACGTAGGCAACATAAGTCACAAACTTGTACTCCTAACACCCTATTCACATATTCTTATCTTCTTGCCTTTTGAAGTGCAAACTCAGTAATAACATTACCACAATCAAGACTAGCTAGCATTTTTTTTCAATAGATAGCATAGCTAAGCCTCTTAATCTATCTTCGAGCATTGTTGATTGTAGATAGCTTTATAAGTTTCAACTTTGAAAAGCTTCTATCCGCAGTAGCCATAGTCAGCGGCATAGTGAACATATTTTGTAAGCAATCCAAGCATTTGGAAAAGAAACATGCATATCCTTTTAGTACTCCAACACTTCAATCACTTTTGTTGTGCATTCGGCTAACGATTTTCGAAGCAACTGTAGTTCCGAAAACAACTCAAATGCATCAATATCACAATCGTCCACATGCCTCAAAAAAATATTAAGCGTGTTACAATAACTCACCAATCTACATTTTCATGGTCTGATAAGCTCACAATGTTGCTAGTCTTGCCTGATTTTGTTAGCAATAATAAAAAGGAATTAGGTTAACATCAGGGCCGGCCCGTACATATTAAGGGCCCTGTTCAAAATGTAATTGGAGGCCCTAAATCATAAAATGTACAGAGTAAAATTAAAACAAGCATTAAGAAAGGTGTGAGAATAATTTGTGATAAACTTATATTATTTTATTTTCCTAACAAAGGAAACATCATACCTCCCAAAAACATATTTGCCGTGCTTATTAAAAAGAGTAGGGCTACTCGAGAAGATTAAAGACGTGAAAACAGAGTATACCGAACATATGCCCATGAAGAAGTGAAGAACATGATAGTACCTTACATACATAGATGGAAAAAATATTGAGGTGTGAAACTGTGCAAAGCTAAACTTTGAAAGGCCGAACTTATCCTTCTGCTCCACTTCAGATTCAGATTTCAGCAGAATTCTTAGGAAATTATGTGATAAAAATTGTTTGGAGAAACAGATCTAGTAGAACGGATTTGATAAAGAAATTAATATAGCATAAATTGGTCGAGTCACTTGGTTGCCAATCAAAATTTTGTAATTTTGTAAATTGTATGTTTTACGAGGAGTCACGATTGAAAGATGAGTCGCATCGTTCATTCTTCCGCATTGTAAGAGGCATTATATTGTCGCCAAGCTCAAAGATTAAATACTCCTATTCTAGTCGTTTTTTGCTCCAACTAATAGCAATAACTACTAACATACGTAGTACTCTATGAATTAAAATTGGGAAATTTTGGGGGCCCTCCATTAGTGGAGGCCCTGTTCCACTGCACCACTTGCACTCCCTTAGGGCCGGGCCTGGTTAACATAATACACCTATGTTCTTCATCTCCAATTGGCTAGTATCTATCAAGGATATTTTATCCCCATGTCAGGAACATTTCATGTATGCTGGGGGACTTATGTCTCCATCTTTGGAGCATTTTGTTTTCCCCTATTTGAATTTTTTTCTCATTCATTGTACTAATAACTAACAGTATAAGAAAGATAAAAAGATACGATAAAGATAAACATGAGATAAAGATAAAAATGAGAAGACAAACATAAGATAAAGATACAACAAAAAGATTAAACCGAAAGGTTTATAAACAACAAGGTATATAACAAGGTACACTTATTATTTCAATGATTTTGTGGTGTGCATCAACAACAACCATTACATTAACTGAAGGATTCACTTAAACTACAACACACTTAAACACTAAAACTGAAACAAACACCTAAACACAATACCAATGAACCCTATTACATGCTTCAATTTAAAAAACACGTGAATACTACACTTTGAACTACCCTTCTTTGATTTTCTTCTCATATGGAATTGGTAATTTAAGTGTCATCTTCTCACCTTCATTCATTGTTGCTTGAGTAAACATTTCAATAAGTTGACTAACACCAGCTTTGACATTGTCATCTACACCTCCTTCACCTTCAAGACTTGGATTGTGGCTTCCATTGTTACTACTTTCACCCATTTTCCATTTGAAGTAGTTGCATTGTGTGCAATTATAAAACATTCACCCCTTACTTTTACCAAATTTTCTTGTAACAAAGCATCTTTGAATGCCATTTGAACACGCAGGAAATTTCTTCTTCTTAGGGCATTCACTCAAGAAATGGTTTGGAATCCTACAACTATGACATATCCCATAATTTGTCACCATTTTTGTTCCTGCAAAATGAATCAAACCATGTTCAAGTCTAGAAAATTCAAGCCAAATATACATATATTGGCTTCTTTTGTAAGAACAAAGAAAACAAGAAATACAGAAATCATGAACGACAAAGGGAAGAACGAATAAATTACTTCGAACCTCAACCAAACTAGGCCAAAATCGTTTGATGTTTGCGGAGCTCCTGGACAAATCTCACGACTGGACGAATGAACTGTGCGAATGAAGGTTGGTTTATATTTATTTTAAGTAGGTTTAACTATTTAAACGTTTAAGGAAGTTAATTCACGCTTTTGCCCCTCATTAAACGGAAGTTCGTCTGCTGTTAGTTGGACTTCTGACGGCGGGGACAACATTTAATGTAAGTTGGTCAACTCGGGGGTGTAATTTGAAATTGGGAGAATTCCCTAAATGGGAGTAAATAAATCCTTAATTGCAAAAATAGGATTAAAATTTAAAAATTCCCTAAATAGGATTTATTATTTGTAGTTGGACATAAATGCCCCTGAAGCTTGATAACATGCTGCCACAGACACATGTCGGATCCACTCTCCGGTCGATGGCCGCTGGCCGCCGGCCGCCGTCACTCGCCGGCCGCCGTCACTCGCCGGCCGCCGTCACTCGCCGGCCACCGTCGTGACACAAAATTGGCCATTGTCACAGAACTGGTCGCCGACGTTGCTGTTATGGCCGCAGCAGCTGCAGATCTGGTCGCCGGAGCCACAGATCTGGCCGCCTCCAACCATCCACTGCTGTCCCTGTAAATCCGTCCTCAGCCGCTGCAGATCCGGCCTCCGCCGCTACATCTCTAGCCGCCGCCACTGCTTGCAACATTTTTATCAAAATACCAACATGAATTGAGAATGACATTTTAATGGCATTTTCAAATGGAAACACAATTTTTTTGAAGAGTAAGAATGCCATTTTTATGGCATTTTCAGATTCAATTTGGCAATCTTAACAACTAAAGAAGAAATTGGCCAAGCAACAGAACTGCAACAAAAAACAGAAGAGGGATAACGAGGAAAATAGTAGAGGAGGAGGAGAAGGTAGGAGGGGGAGTTGAGCTTCATTCTGTCGCATCAGATCTGAATTGGATTTGACCCTCTCTGCTCGCCCCTGCTCGGTTCAGGTTTCGCTGTTAGCCGATGGTCGCCGCAGTTGCTAGCCGCTTCTGGAATCTCGTTGTTGCAGGTGTCAACGGGGGAAGATTGAGCAGGCTGGAGAAGATGAGCAGGTTCAGAAGATGACTGATCCGCAGAGAAAAATTTTAAAATCAAAGAAGAAGAAATGATTTGCCAACAAGAGATGTGATGCATTGTTAAAAAAAAAGAGGCTCATCCGCTCATATGCCGAAGTTGATGCCAGCAAGGGTAAATTTGGAATAGTACTCCTATTTGGGAATAAAAATATATCTACTCCTATTTGAGACTTTACACAATAATTTTGTCCTATTTAGGGTAAAAAACCTTTGAAATTACAGAAATATAGACATGAGATTTTAATTTCATGGATAACTGAGGGACCATATATGCGATTTACCCAATGTTCTAAAAGGCGTAAGGCGTGTCGAGGCGGCACTGTCAAGCCTTAAGCCTTTGAAGCCTAGGCGGGTTTAGGCGGGACTTAGGCGTGAAAATGCGTTTTGAGTTTTTATCCTTTATTTCAAATATCCTAGAGCTATTTTTAAATATTTAAGTTTAATTTATAAACAATAGTATTAGAAAACATCATACTTTTATCATTATATAAAAAAAAAGGTTTGTTGAGTCCTAAGTGGCTAAGTCTAACAAAGACGGAGTACACATTTACCAATTACATTAAGATTGGGACTACAAAAACTAGTTTAATGATACAATATTAATATTAGTAGAAAGAAATAATACCCAATATATGACAAAAAAATTAGTAGACAAAAATGTGACTTAGTAGCTTCTAATGACAATAGAAACATACTTACTCTCACTCTAGTCAAAGTTGTATCCATAAATTCTACTACGTATTATTTTAATATGTAAAAATACCTTTAATATGATAGCAATAAAGCACAACAACAACAATATTAATAACAATAATGAAATAATAATACTAATGCCAATAATACTAATAATAACTAGAACTCGAACAACAATAACATCAATATTCATAATAAAAAATAATAATAGTACAAATGTTCAATAGTTAAATGAAGGTGAGTTTGAGGTATCAAATACGGAGTATTTGCTATCGTATATGGCTATATTTTTGCATATAATGATATAGATAATATAATAGTACGTATTATAATGATAATACAGAAATAAGGCTTACTAGTCATGCACGAAAAAGTAAGATCTGAATCGTTGTCATTACATTTTAAATTGTGATATTGATCAGTGTTGAGTGATTAATATATTTGGGAGTAGTGTGTGATGAAATATGAATGCATGTTCTAATAATATTTTTGTGGTGCAATTTTTTGCGGGCAGTTTTTTTAGATTTCATTAATGTTTTTGGACTGTTTTTTTGCATATGTTGACGCAGTTTTTTTGCAAATCTTTTGGCATTTTTATGGTGGTATAATACTATGATGTTTTAGTTTTAATAGTGAGTAGTGATTGAAGTTAGTTATCTTATGTTCATGTTACTTTAATCATTTTTATATGTTTGTTTATTGTAATGAATACTATATAGGATAATCCAATAACTGGTGAGCAGTCTTCGGCTCTTGAGAATTGGAAGGATCAACACTTGACTCGTAGTGGTGAATGGAGGACTAAAGAAGCACATGACAAATATGTAAGTAAATGATTTTTTAATTAATTGTATCCTTAATAATATGTAATTGTTTTGGTATATAATTTGATAGGTCCGAATGAGCGAGGAGTACCAGACACAATTAGAACAAGCAGGATCATCTTCATCAATAAATGAAATTGATATCATGAACCGAAACTTGAAGAATCATCGAGGACGACAAAGTGGAGTAGGTCCTACACTGTCAAAGAGTGCATCTCGTCGCTTGGAAGATGGTGCTACTTCCACATTGCAAGATCACCGTGATGCTCAGATAAGTGAATTGCGGGCAAATCAGGAATTGATACTCAGTGCTCTACGACATTTTATTCCCGGCTTTCAGTTGCCTTCACGCGCCTCCGGAAGCGACGTTCCTTCGATGTCCAGTGCGAATCAACCTGATGAGAGCCACAATGATGATGATGATCAGAATTAGTGATAGCATGTTCAATATGCGTTCTAATTTGTTAATGTGGATGAGTTTATGTCTGTTTGAATTATGACTTTGTTTGACAGGAATTACTTTAGTTTTAACGTTAATTTAATATTATAAGACATTTAACGAATTGATATGTTGGGAATGATATTAGATTTTGTCATTTTGATTGTGTCAACTTTGATCTTGATTAAAAATTGTGCAGCAGGTATAAACAATATAAAATGAATATATACAATTTTTTTAATTATTTGCGTCGACACATTGACGCAAAAAAATTAGTAGTAAATGTGGATGTCATCTTTGGCGTCAACATGTTGACGCAATTGATCTCATTATTTGCGTCGACGAGTCGACACAATTAATACTATAATTTTTTGCGTCGACATGTGGCTGATTATACCCGTACTATCTTTTCCGTTCACAAGTCGACGCAAATAAGTTTTTATCATTTGCGTCGCACACAGTTGACGCAAAAAAACTATTTGCGTCCGACTATTTGTGTCGACCTTTTTGCGTCGACAAGTGGACGCGAATAAGTTATTTGCGTCGATTTCCTACTTTTTGCGTCGACAAAATGTCAACGCAAAAGACCCATTTTGTTGTAGTGTGAGTAATGAGTACAGGTGGCTGAAATTAAGAATTCGCAACATTTCGCTTATTCCACGTTTTTAGTCTCCCACTTTAGTTTCCCATAGTTAGTTTTCCCACACCGGAACTTGAAGAAGAATTCCTCCATCCCACCCCTATTATAAACTGACTAGTGCGCTTAAGTGTTTAATGTACTCGCCTCCGCGTTGTTCATGAGCCAGTTTGCCCAATAACTCTTTTTGTTGGGCTAGAAGCTTAAGTTAACAAATATTTCAGCTAGTAATGGCTTTCCCACGCCTTTGACCGCGCATTGAAGCTGTGCGGGGCGTTAAGTGTGCGCCCAGCGCCTAGGCACGCCTATGCGGCGCCTAATGGCGCCTTTTAGAACACTGGATTTACCCTATAATTAATTAATAGATCTCAAGCTTGCAAATCCAGAATACAAACTCTAGTTTTACTGTATTATTGTGATAATAATATTATTAATTCTTAATAATAATAATAATAATTCTCCCCAAAAATAATAAAAATAATAATAATAAAAATTAATTGATGCCCTTAATAATCATTTAACAAGTTATCAGTCGATTGTAAACAGCTATTTAACCAAACATCATTTTACGAACTGCTAATATTATCAGCTAATCAAAATAGCCAACAAAATCCGTTGTTATGAATCACGCGCTACAATCAGGCAACCGCCAACTGCCAAACACCCCTAAGTTAGTTTGTGCTAGTATGAGGTAAAATTCAAGAATTGCAATTCGATAAACATGGACCCTATATGGCTATATTTGAACCAATAAAGTAAAATTAAATATGAAAGCAGAGTACTCAATTCGAAATTGTTATAGCACGATTATTAATTTATTATTAACACCAAAGCTTTGCATCAATCTTAAAAAATTAAAAATATGACCCCGTAATACTATACCGGTGATCAAATTGAACGTGGAGAAAAGGGCAACACGTACTACATCAATGTGTCCCTCCCCATAAGTGTACGATCAATACATGCATACAATGAACCGGGCAAAAATGTCCAAATCCAAATCCAAATCCAAATCAGGCTTAACCCGTTAACCCTGCGGTGTATTTCACGCCCGTTGAAGGTAACCATGAGTCACCCAAAAGGAACTCAGCGACCGTGAAATTATGAGCTTGAGCCGAGTTGTTCATCAGGTGGAAACCGGGCCACTTCACCCGGGTACCCATACCCGACCCGGGCCCGTAGTTCGAAAACTCCGCGTAAAACAGGGAGTCCAGAGCGAAAGTGCCATTCCATTCGAGCCAGCCTTCGGGTCGGATCGCGCTACCCATATACGATTGCATAAACACCGTTCGCGAATAGAGCTTCCACGGCCTGCCGAGATACGTGGCGGTGGTGTTTGCGGCGGCGATCACGTCCGGCTCGGCCGTAATGTTGCAGAATTGGATGGAGAATCCGGTCGGCTCCGCCGGGTCCTTGCGGCCGTGCGCGGTGATGGTGTTCTTTTGGCTGGGGAGACCTTTCCTGACGGAGATCTCACAGCTCTGGAAGACGGTGGTGCTGTCGCCGAAGATGAAATCCACCGTGCCGGTGATCTTGCATTCCCGGTAGAACTGGCGCATGGAGTGGGCGTAGAGCGTGTCTTGGTAACCCCGAATCGCACACCGGAATAGCACTGATAGATCGGAGTCGGATCGGAAAGCCACTGCCTGATGCTTTTCCGGCCCCGCCGTGTTCTCAAATGTCATGTCCCGTGCTATAAATCCTCGGGCTTTCACGGCTGCAACAAAAATAGCCCACCTTTAGTTACTTAAAAGTTAAGTTAATAAAACTGTTACCGGTAGATAATTCGTGAGTAAAATCATAAGTGTGATTGCTACTATTTTTTTTGTCAATGATAAAAAATTTGATCAATAGTTTTGCGTATTTGTTTATAATTTATAAATTTTACGAAGTATATTTTTATAAAAAAAATTTAAATAAGGAATTTTTTGATATAATTTTTACATTTAAATATTTTTTTTTTTAATTTTTTTTTAATTTCATTAATGAAAGTTCATTGTCATTGACTAAGAAAAGCCAAATTCGCAACCATTTCAGGACAAAGGGTACTATTTAAAAAATAAATATAAAATATTTTTATTTCAAAATTTCAAAACATGTTTACTCGTACTTGGATTAATTTCTAAAATATGTATATACGAAGTACTAATTAATTTATGAATTGTCTATTAATGTTTATATTCCTAGTATTACATTATTAATTTTAAAATTAATAAGAATGTAAAAATTGTAAATTATTGAAAAATAATAATATTGAAAGAAAAAAGTTGAGTATTAAACAAGATATTTTAATTCAAAATTTGTTACTCCGTACTTTATAACACAAAATTCAAAACTTCCTTCAAATATTCAGTACAAATAAATACTTCTTCCCATCTGGTTTACATTTAAATACTATTCCGTACAAAATAGTCATTTCATTTATTGGGCATATAAATACTCATGTATGTCCTTTTCAAAAAAATTCATGGCCGCCCCAGATGACAACGGCCGGACAGAACCTCCTATATAAAGACTTATTTGACCATTTTTAGGCAATTTCGAGTACCAAACTGACATTTTCCTCCTAAAAAACGTACTATGTCATGTCACCTAATTTTTCCCATCTTTGATTTACAAATCAAATTAAAATTAGACGTAGTAATAATTACTTTTAACAGAAAACTGATGCCTTTTGAACAATCAGATCTGTTATATTAATCTAAGCGAAGAAGTATCGATTACTACGTGAGAACTTCTTGTTATACACATTTTTATACCCCTTATATTCATCATGTCTGTGAATAACTTTTTTGTCTATGAATCCGATTTACAGACAAACTAATTTGTACAAACATATTTTGTCTGTGACCGGGATGTACAAACAAAAAAACTGTGCACAAATATGGTGGGTATGAAAATGGTATAAGGGTGGGTACAAAGATTTTTTATTACTACGTATGGAAGACACGTGGTAAGAGAAATATACATACAATGAACATTTTACGCGTGAACAAATTCCATATTGAACCATATTAATTAAATCTCAATAAATTTGAATGAATCATTCAACATTTGGTAATCTACTGGTTTCCTTTTCAACAATATATGGTTAGATTTTACGTCTTTTTTCTTATGGTAAGTGGATTGAAAATGAGGACTTGTCGTTTTCCTAAGCACGACTCTACCATGTCGGCACACATCATTTTCTCTAACGTTAGTGTCCGATGATAATATTAAATTCTTACCAAAAGTTGCAGATCTGTACGTGGTCCAGCCGTCAATAAAGCTTCTATTGCCGGTAAAAATGGTGACATCCATTCCATCTCCGATCAGCATTATGTTCCATTTCTTCTTCCCGATCTCTACATATTCTCTGTACACGCCCTTCTTGACGTAGATTATGTATCGCCGGTTGCTCATCTCAGGGGCGGCGGAGATGGCGCTGGTCAGTGACGTGTAATTCCCGGAGCCGTCGAGCGCCACCACGGCGTCCGCCATAAGTCCGTCGACCTGGATAAGTTTCCGGTCGTTGTGTTTGAGCCAATAGGGGAGTTTTTCCCTGAGGTTCCTGCCAATGGGCTTGGGCCCGGGAGTTGGGCGGACCATGTCTAGAACTTGGCGGACCGAAGAACCTAATTGGGTCAGGCTGCCGGAAACCAGATTTTTGACGAACCCGTTGGTTCCTTCGAAGCCATCTAAGCATGTGTCCTGATTGGTCATTGCGCCGCTCAGCCATGTTCGTAAATCCACGCTCAAATTTCCAGTAGTGCCATTTTCCTTTTTACCTGTGCGTTTATAAATACATGAACAAATAATTAATCCCACGTCATAAAATCTTGAAATTCTTCCCGTAGTATAATGGATGTAGAGATAGGCGATAAATTGATTTAGTTTATTGTATGAAGATTTTTTTGAGATAATTTTTTAGTCATAATTTTATAAATGTATAATTAAAGTCTTTTATAAGAGAGAATTCCCCAAACAGGAGTAAAAGATAGGCAAAATGCAAAAATAGGAGTACCATGTTTTGAATAGGAGTAAATTTAATGTTTAGACACGTATATCCCTACCCAAGTCCCAACAACTTTCATTAATAATTAAAACATAAAAGAAATAACAATAATTTATAATAAAATTGTAAAAAAATGACAAGGCACAAAAATATACCAAATAAAACATACTTCGTATTAAATAAAATTAATAAAAGTAAAAATTATTAAAATAAAAAATATTAAATAAAAAACTAAAAAATTAAAATTAAAAAAAAAAGCTAAAAAAAATGTAGGCGTCTGCCGCCGCCTCAATAACCTCCCAGCACCACCAGCTCCGACCATCGAAACAAATGCCAACATTTTTTCGAAATGCCATCATGATG